ATAAGAAAATTAATGTGAAAAATGTAGAAAACATGTGCAAGCACATGCGCTGAAATTTGATTGGCTAATACCCATATGGCTATATCGGAGAAGTTTTCCAATGAAATACCCTTAAAAATAAAGTGTCTATTTATATTACAAAAGTATTGTCTAATTTATTGAAGCTTGTAGGGAATGGGGCATCATAAGGGATTGGGGAGCCGTTTGGGGAACATCTGTAACGGTTCCCGTTACAATTAGCACTAGTTACATTTTGCATTATTTTATTTTTGTGTTGAGGGCAACGCAAAATGTAATAAAATAAAAATGTAACAACACAAATATTTTCTTTTGTATTGTGTTCAACGCAAAACATCATAAAATTAATTTAAACATATCTTTAATATCATAAAATATGAAAAAGGTATTGTGCCGAAGTGGATGTGTCGGTTAGGAGTATGAAATGCCTTTGAGGTCCTTTATATAATTTTTCCTTTGTTTATGCATAAATAAAGCTTTGTGTCATAGAATTCTGAGTTTTTGCTTCTTAGTAAATTTGTGCATTGCACGCTCCTATCATAAAATTGCATATCCACTGAATACTAGTGGAACTGAACGCAAAGATGATTTAAAATCGGTGGAACCTAATCAATGATATAATTGGCGAATCAAATTCTAGTTGCTCAATTATACGTAAACACAAGATATGGGCATGTCCTTTTGCATTTCAACGAAATAAAAAATGTCATCTCTGAAAACCAGGAAATCGGCACATTGTATTTGATCCCTTGAAATGGAACTTGCATTATTTCATAAATTAGGAAACGGCTTATAATAAAGCAATTATATATAATCATTGGTGCGATTAATTGTTTGATTGTTTGTTGTTTAGCGTCTCATTCGAGAATTTTTCGCTCATATAGAGATGTCACTATATATCGGTGAAGGGCTTCAAATTTAGACCTATACTCGGCCATCGCCTACCGTGACACGGGACCTCGGTTTTTAGAGTCTCATCCGAAGAACCCGCAACTTTCACTTCAAAGTGCCGAGCACTTGGCGAAGGAACAGTTGCTATCTATTTTTTTATTGACTTGGGTCAGTCACGGCCGTGATTCGAACACACGACCTTCCGATCATTGAACGAGCGCTCCACCGACTCAGCTACCGTGGCGGTTAATCATTGGTCTTAAAATTATGCTCAACCTAACTGACCAAAAAGTGTGTTTTTATATTTATATTGTTGAGTTTTGCTTAATATCGACGCAAAATATAATAACAAAAAAATATAATAATCCAAAAATTATCTTATTACATTTTGCGTTATTAGATTTTGCGTTGACATCAACACAAAACGTAATAACGCAAAATGTAATATTCCTAAAAGTTTCTTATTAGAAACTTGTTGTTCTTATAGAACAATTCTTTTCTGTATTCAGTATGTGTCCTATAAAGATGAAATGTTTTGTTCTACTTTCAATTATTTAATAATTGACCATTCTTTACTTTTTTAGGAATTGCGTATTTTGGCAGGATGCCGAAAAAAAATCTTTTTGTAAACTAAAATTCATTGTCTATCAACCATATATATATTCAAACTTTACTACAATTTAATTTTGCCCCGGTAATCGAAGATTAGGGGGTATAAATTTTTTTGCCCCCTTCGTCCGTCTGTTTGTCTGTTAATCTGTTTGTAGGCAAAAACTTTAATTTTGCCCATAACTTTTGATTAGTTGGATCTATGGTTTTATTATTTCACACTTGTATTTCCTGTAAATATTAACTCTGGCCATATCTTTTGTACAGTTGGTGCTAGGGCTTTCATAGTTCAGATGTGTTTTCATTGTGACAAAGCCTTTACTTGGGTATAACTATTTTTGACATTGACTTCAAAGTTTGACCCATTTTCTTCATTGGTACAAGTCCTTTCCTTGGAAAACAACATTTTTGATCTCTTGACCTTGGAGTTTAACTTGCATTTAAGAAACTTTAACCTTCGCCATAGGCTACCATACGGGGGCATCAGTGTTTCACAAACACATCTTGTTTATTTTACAACATCACGTTTTATTCTTAAAAAAAAAATACACCAAATGATGAAAGGATAACAATGACAAACAAAGATAAAATACTATACTAAGTACTACTAAGCTTTCACAACGTTTTTATACTATGAATAATTAAAAAAATAATTAAAATATAAAAGTTTGCATATTATTTTACTTCGAACATTAATGCAATTCAAATATATCTCTTTCACTTTTTCTTATCCATAACACTAGATCTGTTCATAAAGTTAACAAACACTAGCAGTTCTTGTTTTAATGCGTTTATCCATTTCTACTAGACTTCCATAAAAGGATATCCGCTACCTTATAATATTCGTAATTTTATTTCCTAAATGGAAGACAAAAAGTTTTTCAATCTTAATATAAGACAAGCTAATTCAGAGAATTTGTGTCCCCCGCTTAGGGAAAAAAGGGCATGCACAGTTCGGGGGGGGGGGGGAGATTCCCTCCCCTGGATTTGTAGAATAATTAAATGTATACATGTACATGTATATTGAAGCAAATAAAAAATGCCAATATGGATATAAAGATTTGATTGCTTATTCTTTAATATGTGTATAGAAGTTTCTTTTTGTATAGAATATTAATCATATGTTTGGACTTGGCACCTCTCAATTGCTAAGCAAGAATCAAACCCCTAGACCACGGAGGCACTTGTTTAAACAGCAAATTAAATGCAAACATTATGTCACATATAATGTTTATATGCAAGTTCGATATTGTCAAAATTTTACACAATACATGGTGTCTAACTTAGCCTTTAATAAACAGTTCTAATAGATGTAATTAGAATATAAAGTCCACCGACAACCTGAATAATACGTAATAACTCTCCCATGCCCCTGTGCTAAAACTTGTGCCAAGCGACTTTTATTACGATAAATAAGAAAAAAAGGGGCGGGACACTTTGAGAGGGGCAAGAAAGGCCATAGGGAGCTATATTATAAAATTAATAAAATTTTATTGCAAAAGCTCAAAAGCTTCTTGAGATATCGCCTGGAAACGAAAGTGTTACACACAGACAGAATGTATGAATTTAGGACTTTGAACTTTGACCTTAAAATCAATAGGATTCTTCCTTAGGTCACAGGGAGTTGTTATGTAAAATTTCATTGCAAAAGCTCAAAGGATTCTCGAGATATCGCGCGGGAACGAAAGTGTTCAAACAGATAGAATTTATGAATTTATGACCTTGATCTTTGACCTTTTCACCTCGAAATCTATAGGGCTCTTCTTTAGGCCATAGGAAGTTGCTATGCAAAATTTCATTGCGAAAGCTCAAAGGGTTCTCGAAATATAGCGCGGAAACGAGTGTTACAGACAGAAATACAGACGGACGGACAAACGGACAGACAGACCCAAAATTAATATCCCCCACTTTCAGTGAAAGCTGGGGACAATAAAAGCACATACAGTTAATCTAAACCAATATACACTAAGTACATGACGCATGCATACATATAGCTTAAAAAACCACAGCATACACTGCTAAATACAATGATGAGTACATATGTAGATGAATGGTAGTAAAGCACATTATTATATAGTCTATAAATAGTCCCTATATAATCTATACCAACGCAAACAGTTCATAATTCTACATATTCACTGGATTTGAAGCCGTATTCACCGTAATGTCAGTGCGCGTGCTGCGGCATTGTGACGTCACAATCAATACCCCAAACAACGTTGAAAACAATGGTTGCAACGGCTGGAGCCAGGTGTAGATTTGAGCAGGAAAATTGTTACACAAGTCTATCAAAGGATTATTTATCAAACATTTCGATATCTTACACACAACAAAATAAAGTTATAAGTTGTAATTTGGACATTTTCTATTTTTCTACGACAGAAGTTCGTTAATGACAATGGAATCGTCGTGCAGCCTTCAATGTCTTATTCATTCAAATCCTGACTATATAATAAAACAATTATGGGCTGTTCGGTGGTAAATATGGTTTGTTATTCACCAGAAACATATCAATATTTACCACGGCTTCGCCTCGGTCAATATTGCTATATTTTTGGTGAATAACAAGCCATATTCACCTCCGTACGAGTCCATAATTGTACAATATTTACCTGAATGAAATTTAAGCATTTAGTGAAGGCTATTCTATTTAAAATTTATTAAATATGTACTATATTTAATATCATGGTATACAGCTGTTCAAAAAGGTGCACTTAAGTTTTTATCTCGCAAACCTGAAGGTCATTGTTATGTTCGATTTATGAAGATTGGAAAATTATTAATAATAAACTGAGTATAGTTTATAAATACTTCATTCTGAACAGCAAATCAAGAGACTACACAATCAGAAACAATTTCCATCAAGGAATTTTCACCGTTCTAAAATAATTTTTCAAGACAACAAAAAAATCTTTTGACAGATATTTTCTTTCTGTTGTACCTTGGCAATTCAAACTATCTTACACTTAGAGACCTTTTGATTGAAATCTACATAACTATAAAAGTACGGAGACGCTTTATATTATACATACAACAGTTATACACGTTTTCCAAAGAATTCTTGCGTCTTTAAAATGGACCAATTTTTCATGTATGACTTCAATCCTTGAAATATACATCACTTTATTTTATTTAAAATTACATCGATATTACGAAAAAAAATACCCTCGTCATCAATGTATCACTTTTGCTTCAAACCAAAATCTTTTAATGAACTGTAAATCCATTTATTTTAACAAACTTTTTAAACGAAATTTATTAATTACAGACATCGTATCCAATTAACTTGAACAAATTCTTATACATACTTCAATCTTCCAAATAAAATAAAATCACAAAGTACCCCTGAAAAAAAAATCACTTAGCAATGAAGGCGCATAACTCTAGATAATAATTTTGATCTTGTTTCCTTTCCGTTTTTTCCAATAATTCACATCTGGAATGACTGATGTCCACTAAAAAAGTGGTAGGTAATTTGTTGGTTTATGGAAAAATGGCTGCTAACACCATCATGGCAGCTGAGAAAACCATCCACAAGGCCGGGGTAGCTGAGATTCCGCCACCTACAAGAGAAAATGTGTGATATTTTGATTCCCTATTCTGGCCCCACCATACTCCCAGGGGACATGGTTTGGTCAATTTATAATCTAAACTACCTTACGAATTTTTCGCATCTTTTCTAACCTAGCTGCTCCTGAGAAGATTTTAAAGATTTTTCCTATATATTTCAATGTAAAACTGATTTCCATGTCATGGCCCAACCCTACAACCAGGGGCCAATATTTGAAAAACATTTAGAATCTACAATACCCCTAGGAAGCTCTCACACAAGTTTCACTTTTTTTTCTGGCCCAGCGGTTCTTGAAAAAATAATTTTAAAGATTTTTCCTATATATTTCAATGTAAAACCTTGATTCTCTATTGTGGCCCCGCCCTACCTCCGGGGATCATGATTTGAAAAATTTAGAATTTAGACTACCTCTGAAAGCTTCCGCGTAACTTACAGCTTTTCTGGCCCAGTGGCTCTTGAGAAGATTTTTTAATGAACCAACCCTATTATTGTCTTTTCTTAATTATATTATATATTATAATTATAAATGGGCTTGTTCATTTATTTTAAGAATTTAAACTCCCTTTTGCTCAAGGATGCTTTGTACCTACTTTTGTTAAAATTGGCCGTGTTGTTCTTGAGAAGTTATAAATGTGTAAAGTTTACAGATGGACGGATAGACAGACGCAGGACAACAGGTGATCACAAAAGCTCACTTGGGCTTTCAGCTCAGGTGAGCTAAAAAGGAAATGAACAAAACTGCAACATAAATAAATTAATCTAATACCTGCCTTAACACAACATGCAGCTTAAAGAGGAATTTCCTAATTCATTATTTAAATTTTACCTGGAGAGCCACACGCTTTTTCCGCTTGCTTGAGAGAATCCTGAACATCTGCGTAAGCTGGGTTCTGCTGACAGGCCTTTTTCTGGCTTTCTTCACAGTTTTTCAATGGCATATAACCCCCACTGAAATGAATTTCAATATGAAAACATTCAGTTTAAATATGTATTAAGTGGTTTCACCCTAATCCTAAATGAAGGTTTGAACAAACTTGCTTTCATATTAAAATGACTTATCAGAGCTTTGCTGTTCTTGAATAGATGACTCCCAAAGATTTTTTTTCCTATGCACTTCAATATAAATAAAACTTTAAGGTTCATAAGCCCTCTGCTCACTCATATAAAACGCTGCTTTAACTCTAATGATTTTCCAAAAGAAATGTGTTGTACAAATACAATAAAAATAATTATAGCATAGCTTGCGGCGAGGGGCAAAATAAGACAAAAGAGACATTTCAAATTGGCAAATTTTTAAAGGAATAATAGAAATTTATGGCATTAAGAGTTATATCTCTTATCAGAGTATCGATGATGTTGCCTAATGTGGCTCAGTCCTAACCGAAGGGGTCATGATTAGACAAATCTGAATCAACATTCTTTACGGATGTTTCTATATCAATAATATGACTCATAATGGCTTTGCTGTTCTTAAGAAGTTAATTTATTTTTTAGATAAATCCAATATACATTAATTCTTATGAACAACTTTGATCCCTTGTTGTGGCCTCATCCTACCCCCAGGGGCCATGATTTGAACAAACTTGAATCTACATTACATGAGTATACTTCTGTATTAATATTAAAAATCATGGCTTTGTTGTTCTTGAGAAGATTTTTAAAGATATTTCCTTTATGTTCCTGTTATTTTTTTTTATCTTCTTTTGATGTCCCACCATAATCCAGGGAGTAATGATTTGAACAAACTTCAATCTACGATATGTAGTGAAGCTTTTACATACGTTTCAACTTTTTCTGGACAATTAGCTTATGAGAAGAACATTTTTGAGAGATGCCTTTTAATTTTCACTAATTCTTAATTATCCCCCTTAAAAGAGGGTGTGGTCCTTGATTTGAACAAACTTAAATTCCCTTTACCCAAGGATTCTCTGCAGCAAGTTTGTTCAAAACTGGTCTAGTGGATGTGGAGAAGAATATGAAAATGTAAAAAAAAAAATTACAACAACAAAGGAGAAACTTGAATCAGAAAAGCTCTCTTGAGCCTTCGGCTAAGGTGAGTTAATAAGACAAATGGTAACAATCATCAAATGCAAAAAAAAAAAAAAAAAAAAAAAAAGAAAACTTTACATCCCTAACAAAAACTTACTATAGTTAACTATAGTTTACTATAGTTAACTATGGTAAATACTTTTTTATTTTGGTTTACTATGGAGCTTTACTCTAGAACATTTTGAAGATTTAGAGCCTTGACATTTCTTAAATTACATACCGATTATGTAATTTAAAAAAAACGTAAATATACAACAAATATTTCTTATTAACTTCATAAAATTACTTGTAGGAATTAAAAAAAAAATATTTCGATCTGAATTTCATAGTAAAAATACTTTGATTTACTATAGTGAAAACTTTGATTTACTATAGTTAACTATAGTACTTTTTTGTTAGGGATTACATAATTTGTAAACTTTACCTGAATAAATACAAAGTATATAATAAACAGGAGTTTACCAACTTATTTTTTTTGAGCTACCCCCAGTATTGTCCAAATTAATCCCAGCATCAGAGAAGCATTTCAATAAATTGCAGCCAGAATCTCCTACAAAAATCAAAATCAAGCATTGAAATTTACTTGTTACTCATCTCTGTTTGAGATTTCCTTATTTCATGGTGCTAAGATGTGAATATTAGCTCTAGATTGAAACTAAGAATGCAACTATTTTTCAGAAGTTGATTTTTTATATTTCATTTCAGAAAACTTTGCACAAAAAGCTACTATGATTAGGATCGACTTAAAGCCGATCAATGCATGTTACAGCGATGTTAAAAGTAAATTATTTTTAAGATGAAAATCTGCTGAAATTTAAACAAAAATTAAATTTCTTTCCCCTTTCAATGTGCAAATTTTTGTTTTCCCCACTTTTGTGAAAGAAAGGGGACACTAAATCTCATTCATCTGTCTGTCTCTCACAAAATTATTTAACCATTGTCATAACTTTTAAAGGAAAAAACATGGCTTTCATATTTTACATGCACATTACCTGTGATAAGACCTTTCCAAATGCACTAAGATATTTGACCCCTTGATATTAAGTTTGATTTACTTTTTTAAAAAAAATTACAATAATCATATTTGTTGAATGAAAGAAGATAGGGCCTTTATATTTCAAATGAGTATTACCTGCATGTGACAAGACTTTTTCTTAAATATAGTACAATTTCAACCTCATGACCTTGATATTCAAGTCTTACCTACTTTGAAAAAAATCAACATTGGCAATGACTTTTGAATTAGAAAATATAAGGCGTTCATATTAAATTATGTGTGCATTACTTGAGACAATTTTTTGTTCCCCGCTTTCACTGAAAGTGGGGGATATTAATTTGGGTCTGTCTGTCCGTCCGTCCGTCCGTCTGTATTTCTGTCTGTCTGTAACACTTTCGTTTCCGCGCGATATCTCAAGAACCCTTTGAGCTTTCGCAATGAAATTTTGCATAGCAACTGCCTATGGCCTAAAGAAGAACCCTACTAATTTTTAGGTTAAAAGGTCAAAAGGTCAAAGGTCAAGGTCATAAATTATAAATTCTCTCTGTTTTAACACTTTCGTTTCCCCCGATATCTCGCGAATTCTTTAAGCTTTTGCAATGAAGTTTTACATAACAACTTCCTGTGGCCTATGGAAGACCTCTATTGATTTTGAGGTCAAAAGGTCAAAGTTCAAGGTCGTCAATTCACCAATTTCGTCTGTGTGTTAAACTTTCGCTTCCGGGCGATATCTCAAAAAGCTTTTGACCTTTTGCAATGAAATTTAATACCATACCTCCCTATGGCATCTCTTGCCCCTCTCAAAGTGTCAAGCCCCGTTTTTTTTATTTATTGTATATTAAAAGTCGCTTGGAACTATTTTTAGCACAGGGGTATGTGGAGAGTTATTACGTGTAATACAGGTTGTCGGCGGACTTTATATTCTAATTACATCTATTAGAACTGTTTAGTAAAGGCTAAATTAAACACCATTGTGTAAAATTTTGACAATATCGAACGTGAATATAAACATTACATGTGACCTACTGTTTGGATTTAATTTGCTCTATAATCAAGTGTCTCCGTGATCTAGGGGTTATGATGCTTGCTTAGCAAGCGAGAGGCCCTGGTTCAAATCCCGGACGATCCGGGGTTTTTTTAATTTTTTTTTTCTTTTTTTTTTTTTTTTGATTTACTATATCATACTATCCAACATGTGAAATGAGAAAGTTATACGTCTGGCGTGTACAAACTCATAAAATCATTATTATAATGTGATATATATTCTATAAATTAAAAAGAATCTTCTATACACATATTAAAGAATAATCAATCAAATCTTTATATCCATGTTGGCATTTTTTTATTTGCTTCAATATACATGTATACATTTAATAATTCTACAAAACCAGGGGGGAGGAGTGTGACCCCCTCCCCCGAACTGCGCATGCTCTTCTTTTTACCCCTAAGCGGGGGACACACATTCTCTGAATTAGCTTGTTTTCTTCAGAAATAAATGTTTTGAATTTCTTAAATCAAACTTTAACTTTGGTCGAAATTTTTCGACTAGTACAGACAGGGCTTTTACAATTTTTTACAAGTATATTACTAATAACAAGATCTTTCAGAGGGACTAATATATTTTAACATATTTATATATTAATATAAATTTATATATTAATTTTTATATTACATATATTAACTGACTTAAAATCTGATGCAATCTTCCAAAAAAATCATCTTGGTCTTAACTTTTATTAATTCAAAAATTTACATCTTTTTTTTAAATGAACAGACAAATCAGGGCACGCAGACAAGACAGTAAAAATGTTCCATTAATTATTGCATCCCAATCAACATGACGACAAGGGTAACTTGTGTTAGTGACTATTCTTTGAATTTGCTTGTATTTCACTCGAAGGTCAAATAAATGACTAATTAGTAGTTACCGCAATACCCAGCAGCCAGAGTCATACCGCTCATCATCGACTGAAAGGTTGAATCTGCTGCACAAGCACTTTTGTATGGCTCAATACAGCTTTTCACACCTCTAACTGATCTGTAAAATATAATATTTATGGCATTTTAATATCTGTCATTAAACTGGTAAGAAACTATTTTCTGGCAATGTGGACGAATGCATTATTGTTTCTCTGTGGGTTTTTTTTTTTCATGAAGACATGCTATACGTATTTTACAAAAGCATTGCAACAAACATGGCCAATATCATAATGTTTAACTTGCTGAAATTATGCTTTCAATATTGACAAACATGACCAAAAAAAAAAAACGAAATAAAATTTGAAACAAAATTTAGGATGTTAATTGATAGGGTTATGATTTTTCATTCGTACCATTTTTATACCTCTTAAATGAAGATCTAGGAAAAACAGATTTTTTGGTTTGTTTGTTTGTCAGCAACAAACATTAACTTTGACAAGAACATTTTACTAATAAGGTCAGAGCATTCATATTTCATGAGTACATTCCTTATGATAAGCTCTTTCTCTTGATATCATCATTTTTGATCCTATGACCTTGTCCATGGATTTTGTCCTACTTTTGAATTTAACCTCCACTAAATCTTCTAAAAATTTGGTGCTGGGGAATTCATATTGTACATTTCTTCTTGGGGAACCAACTTTTTTTTCCTTATTACTTTGACCTTGGAGATTGACCTTCTTTTGGAATATTTAAACTTGGCCACTTATGCAGAAAAGTTGGACAGATCAAGCATCCTAACAAGTTTAATACGAAATGCATCATCCATCCAATTATGTTTAGTAACATAGAGCTTATGCTCACTTAAGAAATAGACATAATCCTATTTTAGCTTAAACCTTCTCAAAAAACATAAATATACTCTACAATATGAACCTGGCCATTCTTCTCAAATGTTTTGGCCAAAAATGTAGTATCTGCAATCTTCGAAAGGCATTGGGGGAAAAGGAGGGGAAGGGGCTGATTCTCCACTTTATTCCCAAATATAATGCTCTGCAGATAATTTACTGGAAAATTTTTCACTGACAAGCTGGTCTAATTCTCAGTCGGTCGGCAAGGCTGATCAATGCGTGATTTGGAATTTCTTGGAAAGAAATCTACCTTGAAAACTTAAACCTGGGATGCCTGAAATCTGAAATATTTAGATATAGCCATAAAATTCTAAAAGTAGGTTGTGTTGACCTACTTTTCAACTGACACACTTTGAGGACCCAAGATGCATCAACTGACAAAATTTGCTGATTCTATGATAATTAGTATCTGAAAATATTTAATTACAGCCACAAAGTTCAAAAAGTAGGTCACAGTGACCTACTTTTTAGTTGACACACTCCGAGGTCCCAAGATATATCAAGTGACACAGTTCGATGATTCCAAGTCAATGAGTATCTGAAATATTTAACAAGAGGCCCAAGGGCCTTAACAGTCACCTGAGTATAATACAACAGTTTAGAGGATCCATTAACTGCTAAATAAAGCTTTGTTGCCCAAAAGCAAGAAAAATAGTATGATAAGAATCAACAAAATAATTGGTGTAGTATTTATCAGTCCCCCATTTAGCACTATTACCACGCAGACTATTGACAAAATATCTACCTTTAACCCCATATTACCTCTCACATTGGCCTTTCTTGGCCTTTGAAGAACATTTAAAAAGATTAGTTATTTTTGTCTCATTTTTTTTCATTTCCAGGTCTACCTGATCATCAAAACTACGAAAGTACTTTTTGTATTATACAATAAAAATTCTTGCATAATTCTCTTTTCTATAAACCTTTCAATTATATTATTTACAGTGATTAATTATCAAAAGTGAATGGCAAAGGGGAATAACTTTTCTCAATAGAATACAAATTAACAGAGTCCTGGCAAAGACCAGAATACTTAACCAAATGGTGCAGATGTTCAAAATTCTGGCAAAAATACCTTTGCTTATTAAAACTACTCTGCTTGCCTCCAATATGCCTAGGAGCACAGAGGATTTTCAAAGAAATAATGCATTTTCACTAAAAGAATTAACACAGTCCTATCCTAACATCAGAACCCATGACCCAGGGTCATGAAATTTACAAGGTATCCTCATCATTATATCTATCCAATATATATGACCCCCCCCCCTTTGCTCGTCATAAGCATGCACTTTGTTTGTCTGCTCAATACCCAGTAGCAGACAGGATTATTAAATACAATTAATGCATTTTCACGATATTATTAATAAAGCCCCACCCTTAAACCAGAGCATCTGACCCAGGGGCCATGAGACTCACCATTCTGGAAGAAGCATCCTATCCTTGCTCATCATAACTATATACTAAGTTAGTTTGTTTAATACCTTTCTTTGTTTTATAATCAGGAGTAGAAAAAATATTTCGAAAGAAATTACGCATTTTTACTATATAATCAAAAGAGCCCCGGTTCACGAGAACCCCCAATCCTGGGGCCATGAATTTCACAATTTTGGAGGAGGCATCCTTACTTATCATAACCATGGATTTTGTTTAAATAATACTCAAATAATACTCAGGAGCAGAGAAAAAGATTTTCAAAGAATTAATGCATTTTCACTATATATAATCAATAGAGCCCATTTGCCCTAACACCAGAACCCCTGACTCTGGGGCAATATAATTCAGAATTTCTGAGGAGGCAGCCATGCTCATGTACATTGTTAGTTTATTCATTACCCAGGAACAGAGAAGAAGATTTTCAAAGAATTAATGCATTTACTATATAATCAATAGAGCCCCGCCCTTACACAAGACGCCCTGATCAAGGGGCCATGAAATTCACAATTTTTGAAGAGACAGCCTTGTTCAACATAACTATGTACTAAATTAGTTTATTTAATACTCAGGAGCAGAGAAGAAGATTTTCAAAGAATTAATGCATTTTCACTATATATAAAATCAATAGAGCCCATTTGCCCTAACACCAGAACCCCTGAGCCTGGGGCTATGAAATCCATAATTTCTGAAGAAGCACACTTGCTCTTCATAACTATGTACTTGGATAGTTTATTTAAAACTCACTAGAAGAGAAAATTTTCAAAGAATTAATATATTTTTACTTTATAGTCAATAGAGCTCCGTCCTTACACCAGAATCCCTGACCATTGGGCCATGAAATTCAAAATTTGGGGAAAAGCACTCTTGCTCATCATACCTAAGTTAGTGCAGAGGAGAAGATTTTCAAATAAATAATGCACTTCCATTATTTGAACTATATAGCCCCAACCTAGCACCAGAACCCCTGACCTTGGGTTATGAATTTCACAATTTTGGTAGAGAACTAATACTTATTACAATCATGTCAACAGTTTGACTGCTTGATGTCCAGGAGTAAAGAAGAAGATTTTTTAAGATTTTATTAATTTTGGTGGTTTTAGCCCCACCCCTCAGACCCCATGGTGTAGGGACCGTGAAGTTCACAATTTTTGTTCCCCTTCACAAATAGATGCTATATACCATGATTGGTTGAAATTGGTTGAGCGGTTTCAGAGAAGAAGCTGAAAATGTTCAATCTTAACGCACAACGCAACGACAAAAACGGATAGCAATAGGTCAGCTGAGTGACACAGGTGACTTAAATATAGCCATAAAATTCTAAAAGTAGGTCACAGTGACCTAATTTTCATTTGACACTCTCCGAGGATCCAGGATGCATAAAGTGACAGAGTTTGCTGATTCTAAGCCAATTAGTATCTGAAATATTCAATATAACCATAAAATTCCAAAAGTAGGTCAAGGTGACCTACTTTTTAGTTGACACACTTTGAGGACCAAAAGATACATAAAGTGACAAAATTTGATTATTCTAAGCTAATTCCCCCAAATGGAGGTCATGGTGACCTACTTTTTCAGTTGACACACTTTGAGGACTAGAGGTGCACCAACTGATAAAGTTCGTCTTAGCTATTTAGTATCTCAAATATAAAATTATAGCCATATTATTCAAAATAGAGGTTATCAACTTTTTGACTGAAATACTCCAAAGATCAAAAATGCAGCAACTGACAAAGTTCGATGACTCTATGAAAATAAATATCTGACATATTTAAATATAACCACGAAATTCCAAATGTAGGTCAAAGTGACCTTTTTTAGTTGACACACTCTGAGGACACAAGATAAGTCAAGTGACAAACTTTGATGATTTTAAGTCAATTAGTATCTGAAATATTTAATTACAGTCATAAGATTCCAAAGTCGGTTACAGACACCTTCTTTTCAGTTGACACCCTTCGAGGATCCAAGATGCATCAAGCCAATAAGTATCTAAATATAGTCATAAAATTTCAAAAAAGGTAACAGTGACCTGTTTTTCAGGTGAAACACTTCAAGAACCCAAGATGCATCAACTGACTAAGTTTGATGATTTTACGATAATTAGCATCTAAAAATATTTAAACATAACCATAAATTCCAAAAGTTTTTTGATTGAAATTACTTGAGGCCTTCAGATGCATCAAACAAGGTTTGATGATCAAAGTGTCCAAAATATATTTTAAAACAATTTGAAAATGAATGTCTGCAAAATTCTAAAAGTAGGTCACTATGACCTACTTTTTAATTAATATGTTTTAAAGTCCCAAGATGCATCAACTTACATGTACAAGGTTTGATGATTCTAAACCTCTTAGTATCTGGAATAATAACCTTAAATGTTTTTTAAAAAAAGATTAACCATAAAACTCAGAAATTACGTCACAGTGACTTACTTTTTAATTGACACACTTCAAGGCTCCATAATGCAAAAAATGATAAGTTTTGATGATCATAGACTTCAAAATGTCCAAAATATGCAAAAAATCAAATTGAAAATTAATACATGCAAAATTCATAAAGTAGGTCACCGTAACCTTTTTTGAGTCAGGATACGTGGCCAGGGCTAGTAAAAATTATGGAACGTAGCCCGACTGGTCTAGTACTTTTACAGGTTAATGTCAAACCCTGACATAATTTTGTAATTCTTGGCTTTTATTGTACAGGCCTATAGGAAGCAATTTCAGTTGGGGGAGGGGGCAAACATTTTCAGTTGGGGGCACTATCAACTACCAAATTTCCTTGACAAGCCCAAAAAAAGAAAAAAAAAAGTCATCAGACGGTTTTATTGAGGGTACAAGCACATAGTAGCTAAGTTTTATAATATTCTATATATCGGCATAATTATAGGGACAGCCCCCCCCCCCGTACCCCCCGGTTCCTACGGCCATGTTGTATTGACAATATTTAATGACAGTCAAGTTACCGAAGTAATGAATGAGTTATTAAAATCACAGGGTTTTTTTAAATTGTCTCTTCTGAGTCTGAGTGGTAAGAAATATAAGTCAAAATACAAAACTACTCACGCGCACATGGTCTGTAAATCTTGCATTGACAATGACTCCATATTTGGCATTACAAACCCCTCAAAACATTTGGACATCTCTCCCATGTTACATTCTGAAGACACTCCTGAAAAAGTAATTTTTTTCTGTATAATGAAAGAAATATCCCCATTATATTTAAATTTATATACTGTAAAATCACATATCTTCGTCGGGTCAGATTTTCATGGTTTGAGGAAAAATATTGGCACATGGGGATTTAAAAATTATGCAATTTACTATTTAATCAATTAAGTCCTGTCCTAGGTGTCCAAAGTATGTTTGCTATATACCCACGCTCAAAGAACTTTTTTCAAAGAAATAATACATTTTTACTATATATCCAACAGAGCCCCGCCCTAACACCCAAAGCCCTTACAAAAGGCGTATAATATGAAGTAATACTAGAACCCCTCACTAATGGGCCAGGACAATTTTAAGGAAGAAGTACACTTCCTGGTCATAACCATGCATTTAGTTCATCTTTTAAATACCCTGGAGCATAGAAGGTTATCACAGAAATAATGCACTTTCACCCCACCACGAAGAACCCCTGACCCATGGATCATAAAATTCACAATTTTTGATGATGCATCCTAAGTTCACATCATGTGATGATAACCCTGCATTTAGTATTTTTGCTTATTACCTTGCAGAACAATTTTTTTCAAGATTCATAAAAAAGCACCTAGTTTATCTGCTAAAAAAGACGACTAAATAATTTACGCATTTTCACCATATGAATATTAGATCCCCAGCCTAACTCCAGAACATCTGCCAAAGGGCTATGAATTTCACATTTTGGCAGAGTATTCAATGCTTATTATAAATCTGCCAACAGTTTGACTTCTTCATGTCCACGAATAAAAGAATACGATTTTTAAAGAAAGCTCTTGTTTTGATGATTTTAGCCCCATCCCTAAGGTCATGAAATTTTACATTTTTTTTCTACCCTTACACCCATTAATGTTATATGCAAAAGTTGTAACAGTAGTTCAAGAGAAGAAGATGAAAAGTTCAATAGCTTACGACTGAATCACTGATGGACAATGCATGATAACGGATGAAAACGCTAGCAGTGAAGGAGAGGGGAATGAATAATAAGCCTATTGAAAGGCAGACTGCTTCTCCCACAGTTTTTGTTGTAGAATGTTCAATGTTTGATTCAAACCATTGCAGAAATTACATAACCAAATCTACTTTCTCTGCAATGGCTGAAACCATTAATTTCTCAATAAACAATCGAATAAAGCATTTTGTTGTTTAAGCAATCACGTGCTATGATTACTTCTATTTACCTAACATGTCTAATGTTACAGGGTTCTGCCCTGAATCATTTTATTAAAAAAATATTTCTCATTTTTAACTATGTGTCTAAGTAGACTATGTGTCAAAGTGGACTCTCACATACAGTGTATATGTTTCATTTATAAAAGATGACTAATAATAAGTATTCGCGATTATTAGTCAATAATTCTAATTCTGTAGTACTTATTATGCAAATCATTTTGAAGTACAAGTGTAACAAGATTTTAACCCACATCAAAAAATAGTTCCAAGCCAAGATTTTAAACAATTTTTTTTTCTTTTTATTACAACACTGTACTCTGTTTGCCAAGGAGCAAAGAATAAATAATTGCATTTCCACTAAAGGTTCAACACATCCCCACCCTAATACCAGAAACCTTAACACCCAGGATCCACGAAATTCACAATTTTGGAAGACGCACACTTGATAACCATAACCATGCTCATTAATACCATTTTCAAAGAAAAAAATGTTTTTTTTCACTTTATAATCAATAGAGCCCCCTTTCCCCCATCTCCCTCCAGTACCAGTGGCCCTAGCACAAAGAAATCCACAATTTATGAAAAGAAAAAGCACCTAGGGACAGAAAATAAGATTTTCAAAGAAATTGTACATTTTTAAAATATATGTTTAAGAGCCCCGCCCTATCACCAAAACCACTGGTCCAGAGGGTACGAATTTCATAGTTTCAGTATAATGTCAATCTTATACGGTACTAATTCTGATGCACCAGATGCGCATTTCGAAAAATTATGTCTCTTCAGTGATGCTCGAGCCGAAACGTTGGAAATCCAAAATATTTAAATAAAAAAGACTTGGAAGAGCTGAAAAAAGGTGCCAAAGACTAGAGCCAAATACCTCATAAAAAATATATAAGTGTAAGAAATCCTTGCTTATCATATCCATACAATTTGTCCACTAAATACACAGGGACAGAGAAGTCATTTAAAGAATGTATACATTTTCATCTATATAGCTCTGTCCTAACACCAGAACCTCTGACACAGGGCCATGAAATTCAAAATTATAGAAGAGGCAAACTTGCTCTTCATAAACATGAATTCTTAATATCTGCTAAATATCCAGAAGTAGAGAAAAAGATTTTCAAATAACTAATGCATGTTCACTATATAATCAATAAAGGCATAGCCCTGTCATAAACCAGAACCTGATCCAGGGGTCATGATATTATCAATTTTTTAGAAGAGACACTCTTTCTCATCATATGTAATATACTATGATTGCTTAATATCCAGGAGCAGATGAAAAGATTTTCAAAGAGTCAATGCATGTTCACTATATAATCAATAGAGCAATCAATAATCAAAGAAACAAGATATGTTTCTGAAACATTGATGCCCTGTATGACAGCTTTTGGCGAAGTTTGCAGTTTCTCAAATGCAAGTCAAACTCCAAGGTCAAGGTCAAAGTGTCAAATTAAAGGTACACAGGGGAAGGCCTTGTCAAAAGAAATATACATGTGAAAAATTAAATCCCTAGCATCAACTGTTCAAAAGTTATGGCCAAGGTTAAAATTTTTAGAAAGTAGGTCAAGCTCCAAGGCCAAGGTCAAAAGATCAAAATTGTTAGTATCCAAAGGAAGGCCTTGACACAAGGAATACATCTGTGAAATATGAAAGCCCTAGTACTAAGTCTTCAAAAGTTACGCCCAAAGTTAATTTTTTGGAAAGCTGGTCAAACTCAAAGGTCAAGGCCAAAAAAATCAAAAATATTTAATCCCTAGAATCTTGTCAAAATAAATATAAATGTAAAGTATGAAGACCTTAGCACCAACCGTTCAAAAGTTATCTCCAAGGGTAAAATTAGGTAAATTCTAGCAAAATTTGGTCGAACTCCAAGGTCAAGGTAAAGAGGTCAAATGTAATGATACCTAAAGAAAGGCCATGTCACAAGGAAGACACGTTTGAAACATAAGAGCCATAGGTCAAGGTCATGCTTGTTGAGTGAGGAGGTGTTTTCAGGGCTCTCTTGTTTTTGTGGAATTAAGATACTCATAGTGGTTTTTAATGAAGTGAAAATTGTCACAGATGTTTCTGAACTGTTTTTTTTTCCATCAGAGGATAGTTTCATGTAAAAAATAGTGGTTTTGGATTTTGCTTTACCTTCTTCAAAAATTGAAAGAGAAGTCTTGAGTAGTGTTTGACTAGTATTCACCTAAGTGCTACTACTTGGGTTCACCTTGTGTTCATCTTGTGTTTACCTGTATAATTGTGTAGTGTTGTGGAGCATTACAATGTCAACAAAGGAAATAAAGGACACGAAAGCTGGAAGATCAAACACCAAACAGACAATGGACAAAGGAAGACCTTCATTGTCACTGTCATCAGTCTCAGCTGAGGTTAAAGGCCAAGTTGTATCTATAAAACCAGCAAGCAAACAGAGGAGAAATTCATCTGCAGGAGATCAAGATGACAATTCAGAAATGGACAACATCAAAGTTACTCTTTCCTCCGTGCAAGAGACCCTTAAAAAACTGGTGACCAAAGATGACATAAAAGATCTAGTCAAAAGTGTTATTATGGAGGTAAAGGAGGAGTTAAAGAAGGAAATGAAAGAGGAGCTTAAAGAGGAGATCAAAGAGGAAATTAAGGTAGACATGTTGCAGGAACTAAAAACAGAGATAGACCAAGACTTGGATGAGAATAAGAGTCAACATGGTCAAGAACTTTCCAAGATGAGACAGCAACTCTCAGACAAGGTGGATAGTTTAATGATGGACAATGACACCAATATGGGGAATGTATCACAGCTGAAAAAAAAGGATCAGTGTATTGGAAAATCAGTTGAAAGAAACAAATGGAATTGCCAGTACAGCAATTAGCATGGCAAATATGAATCAACAATACTCCCAGAAAAACAATATCAAAATTATGAATTGGCCAGAACAACAGGGTCAGAATTTAAAAGAGGAGTTATGTGCTCGGGTGGCTGAAAAAGCAGGGGTCACTTTGGACCCAAAGGACATTCTGGCAATTCACATAATTCCATCAAATGACAAAAATCACCCAAAACCTGTGATTGTCAAATTTGTTAGTAGTGAGGTGAGGAGGTCGGTGATTATAAAGAGAGAACAATTAAAAGAGGACTTTATAATGTTTGATCACATAACCAACATGAATGCGCAGCTGCTGAGAAAACTGAGGGCCGAGGAGAGACAACATATTGTAGATAGTGCGTGGTACTACAATGGACACATCTTTGTGTTGGATACAAATTGGAAAAGACACAAGATGGATGTAACGGATGATATTGACAAAAAACTTGCGATATAAGCATGTACTTCGAAAATGTCCACAAACAGGAGGAGCTTAAAGGACAAGGGTGACGTTTGCCTAAAGGCGAGGTATGCCTAAAAAATGTAAAGAGTCAATAACTTTCTGTGGTTTTCCATGTTTGAGTGTAAGTGTAAGTTTATGTGTGCACTTTCAATTATATGTAATTTATCATTATAATAGTGCCAACAGTTTATCTGCTTTTCTCAAAGCCTTAAAAATTTATCAGTTTTTTCATTGGAATTAGAATGTAAAGAATTAACTTAACATGTCAAAGGTTGAAAGCTTAAATAATTTAAGTATGAATGTTAGAGGTTTTTCATCAAATTGTCAAAAACGCAGGGACGTATTCAACTGGGTAAGAAATAAGAATGTTTCTATTATATATTTTCAAGAAATTCATAGTACAGAAGAGGTAGAGAAGTTATGGGAATCCGAATGGGGTTATAAATCTGTATTTAGTAGTTATACTAGTAGCTCAGCCGG